TAGTCGTTTCTTCTCCCTAATCGACCAGGATGGCAGCTTTTTCTGCGGAGGGCAATTGTAGTGAAGAAGAGGGGCCTCAGCGTCATTTATTGGCGCCTCAGGGGCATCGCCATCAGCATAAGCTCGTGCTTGCTGCGCTTAGCGGGACGCTGCTGACTGCTTCGCCTTCTGCGTTCTGCTCTGCAAATAAATGCCGTTACACAATTTACACAAGACTCACAGCAAGGTTGAACACTCTGTTTTAGAAAGCATACCAAGTAGCAAGCTGAGAAGTAACGTCTTCACGCGACACATAGCTTTTCAAAGGGTACGCATCATCGTTACACCATGCTCTTATCAAAAACCACTGCGATCGCAAGGAAACTGATCGTTTGTCGCATCCTCGGGAGAAGTCTCGTGGTTCAACTTGGCTGAGGTCTAACCATTGCATTCTCAGTACTACATTACATAAAATTTGAGGTATAGCGGATTCAGTACGGGACAGTGAAGACACATAACGTATCCTTCTTCTCTGTCCCATCCTGGCTGCGCTATACCTCAGATACTATGAATAACCAATAAGCCCACCATACAACCTTACGCGACATTACAAACTAGGAAAACCTTCTACAACTTTCAAATTCCTAGACCGGGACTTTTCCCGTGTGATCAGAGTGAGGAGCACGCAATGCAGTAATGACGCACCGAATTTCAACAAGTGGGTGTCATTGCTAGTCGAGGACGTCAAGTCAGCCACTAAAACCATAGACACTCGTTTTAAGCTCAATAAAATATTATCAGTGTTGTCCATCTTTTAGAGGCCAAAAACGCCACCCTTATTCGGTTGAAGGCCCGTCACCGGAATCGATGACTGCGAATACACATCACTAGTCTTAATCAGGAAATAACCACTCACAGGCAGACGCTGGAAACACAGAAAAGTATGAAATTTGCAACACGGTGGATATACAGAAGAGAGTGGAGAGAATTTAAACATCCTTCAACACCTGCTGCTGGAAACAAACTCTACTTTGAACCAGACGCTCTTGGCAGACAAAATATCACACTTAGAAAGGAGGGCAAGATCAGATGCAAGAACATTGGAGGCTTTGGCACAAAAAATCCTCCCTTTTTCTAGCTCACCCTTCTCCTGGCTATGCGTAGCGCACGGCACCACTAGCGTCTGAGTTGAACAAGCTCTTCCAGGACGCAGAGGTTCGGAGCACGTTAACAAATCTCGTTAACAAAAGTCTTCGCAGCCAAGACGTCAACTACGTGACTAACTTCACCAAAAATTCAAAGGTATTTGTAAACTGGACTTTTATCTTAGCATTGGAATTGAGTACGCGATTCTCATTCCTAAACCTGACCAGAGATTTAATATTAGCTCAATAGTGTTGATAGCTGGGATAGTTGGTAATTGATCATTTTACCGTAAGGTTGAGTAGCGCAGTTTTCAACATGATCAAGAGGGATAAGTGACGGTCGTGTCCTTGTTATTCATCTCGTCCTTGTTAAAAACTGCGGCAGTTGACCTTACGATGAAATGAACAGTCGTAGTAATGTGCGACCTATTTTACTGACATCTTTCCGAAACAAGTTTACTGAGCACGTCATCAATAATTGAAAATCAAGGAACATAAAAAAACCTGTTCTCACAACAGGATCTCTTGAAGTCACACCTATCTACTCCGATCACCATGAAAATTCTGAAACATCACAATATGGATCAAGAAACAAAAGACGTTAGAGCCATTCTTCAACTCCATCTTGAAAAGAACTTTACCAATGGCTCGCAGTCTGAATACATCTCTCGCCTCAACTTACGAGCCAACATTCACAAGTTAATCAGCTTGTTCCCCAGGGCAGGGGCGTAGCCAGCGGGTGGAACTCCAGGCACAAGCGCCCGCCGAAATTTTATTTCGCCACAACATACAAAGCGAAAAACGGCAATTTGGAGGGGGCGCCCCTGCCGAAATCTAGGTGGTGACCCCCCCTCCCCCCACAAAAGACTTACTGCGCGCCTGCCCCAGGATCCAGCTAGGAGATCTCAAGCCTGAGCCCTATGAACAGGGTTCCTCAGTCATCTCCCCGCTGCCGTTCAGTCACTCGTCTTCCTGCTGCTGTTCAACATTGCCATATACGCCATTGTTACCGAGCTCTCAAACCAAGAAGGCGTTAAATTTGCCAACTGCGCGAACATCACCAAACGAAGTGTCAATGGCTCGGAAGGCTGAGTGGTGAGCTCTCTTAATGAGGCCGTCTAGTGTGTTGAAATCTACATAAAGAAAATGGGCCTCAAGCTTGGGCCATCAAACTTATACATCTCTTATATCGACAAAATAAAGAAGAGCGGGGGTGAACCCAAAACTTGAAACCGCTGGTGGACATGGGCATTAGACTGCACATGGCATCTGGGCAGCAGATTCTGCGCGTCATCATGGAATCTAATGGACAGAACGGCTGCATTATTGATCATCTCACTTCCGAAGCAGAAGGAATAATTTGGTTAATTTCTCGAATTTTTTGCAGTTGTGGTGTTCTTGGGCAAGACAACTTCCTGAGACTGCTGCATGAATTTTCGATCAGCTACATAAGCCATGTCGCCTTCATACACAAGTTGTAACTCTATCAGAGGACTAAATTGAGCACTCTTATACAGAAAAGCATCAAGGGAGTCCTTGGCATTCCTTGGCATAAGCACAAAGTACCCGATTCAACTTGAACTTCATAACAAGCTTGAAGAAGTCATCGAGGCTCAGCGAACGGCACAAGTTGACAAGCTTTAAGCTACATCAGCGGAGAAAAAGATCATGGTTAACACAGGACCTCCAGTCCTGACTTTTAAAGTGCAAAGCACACATTTTGATGATACCTTTCACTCTTTAAAAAAATGAGTCACTTTCTACGAAATATGCTCCCGCAGTCAGGCAGGCGTGTTGCTGGAGCCATCGCTCGTTAACCTCATGCCTATTCCCACTCATCTCTTTCTTGCTTTGCTGATGCAGCCAGGTATGGAACTTCCACTAACTTGGCAGTAGTATCCTTCCATACTCAGAATCCGAATGTGTCCGCAATGCAGTTTGAACACCTCATATTTCAGAGCATTTGGCCATTACAATAGCCCTCTGACGCACAGAGAACTGATGGTTATACTGACTCCAAATGCGCTCTGATGACTTTCACTTCTGGTTCCGTGTGCAAGAAAAATTTTAAAGCTTTCGCTCACAACAAATGCACCCAGGAAAATATAGCTTGGTTTCTTGCTCACCTTGGCTCGAAGGTCAGGGATGTTTCCTAAGTCAACGACCAAGCCCACTCTAAAGCATGTGCTTTCACTTGCCGCATCCTTACTTCCGTGGCTCAGGAAAACCAGCCCCCAACCCCATTTTAGGCACAATTTGACTACATTCAAATACGTATTATCGCTGCCCAATGGGTCGTAGCTCCTTTTCACTGCGCTACGAAAAGTTGTCTAGCCACAGACATGTTCCCTTCACTTGATTAAGACGGGAACATATCTCAATATCTTCACTTAGTCATTACTGCAATATTTCAGGGCTTCGTGCAGTCTTTTAATATCACAGTAAATTTAGCCACATGCTATGGAGGTGGACTTATTTACAGAGCAAACATTAAGAATTCTCTGAAAATGACTCTTATTTGATGCTTAAGAGCACGAACCTCCTACAGCTCAAAGCTCGCCCGAGGTCCCGACGTGGTGGTAATGCTAGGTCCCCCCGCACCTACGTGGGAACGGCCCGCGATCCTTCCGCTATGAAACAATGGATTCCCGCAGCAAGGGGAGGTATGGGGAAAGCTCGTGAACGTCGAATTGTACAAAAACAAAAATAATACACGAAGCACAAAGAAAAAACTGACACGACAGACTGGCTTCACTTGGACATTGCATCAAATTTGTCAAGGTGTGGTGACTTACGCCGTTTGTTCAGTCAGTCGTTTCAGCACAAAAAATTGAAATTTGTGCTTAGAAAATACTGCGATACCTCAGGCATCTTCGTAAAGTGTCGAAAACTCTAAATATTACTGAAAACATTGATAAGCGGCTTTTCTACATTTTAAATGTCAGTTTTGGTACGGCGCTTTTTCATAGAAATATGCGTCACGAAAGCGTGAATTAAAATTTCCATTCAAAGCATTGTCAGAACTGCAGCAATAAATATGCAGTAGTTGTTCTGTCATAGTCGTATAGATCTTATGTTTCTTCATATTTTGTTATGGTAGATGCACTTTTCAAATGTGCCTGAATATCCCTGGTAGGTCTCGCCGTTCAGAGAGATATGGAGCCGATGGAGTGCTTAGCGCTTGGCTTCAAAATGATTGTCAAGGTTGCTCTACAGCTTATACTTAACCTTTTTGACATCCCTTATCTTCATAATTTATGCCACGCTAACCCACGAAGAAGTAAAAAAGGGTTCGGAAGACTAGTGCTAGTTCTCTGCACTCTGTGTTATGCCTTCATGTTCTAGCGGTGCACCAATCATGCAGGTATTCCTGGCTAGCCCAACATGCCAGGGTGCTTCAAACTTTCATAATGTTGTTCTGGCTGCGCTTGGCTTCTAATATTACAATAATACGTCCGTTTTACAGCTTGTGGAGCCCACAACTTGTGCTAGAATTCAGGTACAAAGTCACAAATCAAGTGTTACTATGCTTTAAAAAGTAATGATAACTAACAAATAATGACGCCAGGGAAAGTATATGGGATGTTAGTAAAATTAGTTCTTATGTATTGTGAAGTAAACCTAATAAAAAAGTAACCTGCTATCAGCAGCACCAAACCAATGACCTTTAAATAAGGCGTCCTATGCTCAACTGCTGTGCTAGCGGTCATCCACTTTATAGGGTATATATGTGCATTTAACGTGGTCACGTCTGCCAGTGCCACTTGCTGCCAATGCGGCGAGTGTCGAACACCGTTTTTCGGCCTGTTGCCGTCATGTAGCATTTGTCGCCAACATGCAAAAAAACTTTAAAAATGCCGCTTACTTGCTACGCAGGTTCAATTCACCCATCAGTGAGCCGTGCGAGATTCCTGTCCGCAGCCCCTTCCTGATTGCCATGGCAACCTGCCATACACTAACCTCTGTAGGCAGTGAGCTAGTAGGAGACCCGCTGGACCTCGCCATGTTTCGCTCAACACACTGGGTAAGTACGATCATGGTTGAAACAGTGGCCAGGTTTTCGTTATTGTTGTGTTGTGCTGTTCAGTTTCGCTTTCGGTTTCTGTTTGAAGTGTTATGTGGCTTCATGTTTGGCAGTGTTATGTACTATATGTACATTTGTGTAAATAAATAAGGTGGCGACCGCACCTGCTTCGTGGCGGACACTTCTTCTTCCGGCGCTCAGCGCCGAAGTCGTCGGCGGCTGCCGCCGTTAGCGTCGGCGTGCTGCGGCCCTTCGTTTCTTCTTCGTCGGCGTCAGGGTCACAGCCAACACCGACACAACAGTAAGCCCCGGCGACTACTTAGAAACTGAAGTCCTTAGAGGGTCTTGTGTTTGATTTTGTCAGGTCATATAGAATGTCCTAACCTAGCAGCTGGGGAGGTGAGCCATACGCAGGTTTGCTGGCGTGCAATTGGCGTGCTACTTCAGTGTACTGTTGACAGACAGCAAGCAGATGGCAGTGGCACAGCCCACAGCGTACAACATTCGGTTGCGTCATGAACTTCAAACAGTGCTTGAAGAGTGCCAGCGTTTCATCAATGGTTCATTATAAACTGTGAAGCAAATGCACAGTGCTCTGAGTAGCATAACATGGTCCACAAAAATGATGACGTGGGTAGACACTTTTGATCTGATTTGGCTGTATGAAGTTGACCGCTACGAGAGACAAGGCTGAAAGGAAGGCAGGTGCGGTATGCCCAGTTTGATATAGAGGCAGCTTGCAGAGGGTGCAGAATACAAGTGAGTTTGAGGACAATACAAAGGTGGAAGCTAAACATATCATAATCCTGTTATGCGTTACACACACAGAACAAAGTAGAGCATAGCCATTTATAGAAAAGGAGGGAAAGAGAAGTTAGGACGAGAATGATACAAAGGAGGAGGAGGAGACGGCGAGACATATTGCCACGACATAGTGCCTGCATTCAAACAACGTGCCCATCACCACGCGCACAGAGGCATACATGGGCGCCGTCTAGTGTTGCGCAGAGACGATGATGATAGCACGAGAACCCAGTTGGCCCCTGCTGATTTGTGCCACGCGCTTGGGACGCTTCTTGAAGAAGTAGAAGAAGAAGACATCTTGCCGTTCTGCTGTAACGTGCTACGACCATAGTCCCTTTGAGTTGTGGGCACAGGTTCGCCCTTTAATAAATACGTTTTACTATACGCCAAGTCCTTCAACATCGTTACATTTCTGGTGGAGGTGCTGGGTAATGAATCAAAGCCCTACGAACGCAAGACAGCGTAGCCCCGACCACCAGCCAGTTGATACTGCAGAGCCGACACCTGTGCATCAGAGGACCAGTCGCCGTCTTCGAGGTGATTCACCAGAATTTAGCCCACTCCACTTTGCGCCAAGGGGAACTCAGTCAATGGACGCCGCCACAATGACAAGTCATGTAACACCAGCCCAAGTGGTGATAAATCAGCCTCACCAGCTACCAGTATTTCATGGCGACTCGTATGAAGACGTAGAAGATTGGCTGAACCTCTTTGAGAGAGTGGCACGTTTGAACGGTTGGGACGAGAGAGAGAAGCTCTGCCGCGTATACTTTGCTTTGGAGGACTTCGCAAAGACGTGGTATGAAAACCATGAAACCTCCTTTATGACCTGGGATGAATTTCGGCGACAAGCTCTGGCGACTTATGCCAGCGCGGATCGCAAAGAAAATGCGCAGGCTGCGCTCGAATCCAGGAACCAACTCACCAACGAAAGTGTCGCAATGTATATCGAGGACATGATCCGCCTGTTCAAGCGCGCAGATACCCATATGACCGAAGACAAGAAGCTACGCCACCTCATGCGTGGGGTGAAGCAAGAGCTATTCGCTGTTCTCGTCCGCAACCCACCACGAACAGTTGCGGAGTTTCATACGGAAGCGACAGCCATAGAGAAAACGCTAGAACAGCGGGCTCGACAGTACAATCGAGACATAAACTATGCACCTGCCATTGTCTTCTCTGGACGCCAGCGAAGTGACATGGACGCTCTGCGAGAACTCATCAGGTCGGTGATCAGGGAAGAGCTCAGCAAGTTGCAAGCACCTCACACTACAGCAACACTGTCTGTAGTCGACGTAGTACGAGATGAACTGAGGCAGATGATACGTGAGCCGGAGCGTGCGCCACAGCCGATCCAACGCATACCAACGTACTCTGAAGTACTCAGACAACCCGCGGCGCACACCAATGCAGCAGTTACGATGGCCTCTCCTTGCCCGCAAACGGTACGCAGCGCACCTCGTCCACTGGAACCGATGGCTACCTACCTGCCACGAGCCCGTGGTGTAGCTCGCTACGTGGATCAAAGGCCCCGGAAAAGTGACATCTGGCGTGACCATGAGCGCAGGCCTTTGTGTTTCCATTGTGGGGAAGCAGGTCACCGGTATAGGTTCTGCCCGTACCGACAGGCAGGATTAAGGGGCTTTCCGGTGTACGCACCAAACGGTGAACGGCCAACCGAGATCGAAGAGTACTTGTCCGCGCGCCAGAGCCCACTCACTCCACGCCAACATCAGCCAAGATCGCCGTCGCCCAGGCGTTACCGATCACCCAGCCCACGTGCTTCTTCCGCACGGTCTGGGCACCGTTCTACAAGCCCACACCAGGAAAACTGAAGCAAGCGACCTGTGGAGGTGAGGCCGCTGATAACGACAGTTGCGAAGATCCTCCATTGCGGTTTCAAGATGACGATGCTATGTTTACACAGGATAAGCGCAGCAGTGCGAAGATTACTTCAGACTTGCGGTTGAAAATAGACGGATACGAGCTGAATGCTTTAGTTGACACCGGCGCTGATTATTCGGTAATGAGTCACAAATTGGCAAAGAAACTGAAAAAGGTTGTAACAAAATGGAGTGGGGCACAGATACGCACGGCAGGTGGCCACACTATTACACCGCTCGGCAGATGCACCTCAAGGCTCGAAATAAGAGGCTTTACTTACGTTGCGGACTTCATCGTGCTGCCGGACTGTTCAAGGGAGCTTATACTAGGAATGGATTTTCTGCAAGACAATGGAGCCATAATTAATCTGCGCAGATCCAGTGTAACGTTTTCGACAGAACAAGCTATGTCGGTGGAGGAATCGGAAAAGCGACGTCTTACTGCTCTGCGCGTTGTTGATGATGACGTCACAGTGCCACCTCGCTGTAGTGTAATGGTGTTTGTTGAAAATAAGGCATTTTGTGACCACGAAGGAATAGCGGATGGAAACGTAGAGCTATTTTTAAACAAAGGAATTTGCGTGGCAAGGGGTGTTGTTCACTTAACGAATGGCCGCTCAGTTGTCCTCCTTACAAATTTTGGGAATGAATGTCAGCACATCACGCAAGGTATGGCTATCGCCTATTTCCACGAGTTCTGCATGGCGACTGAACTATGCAGTTTAGCGACAACGCCAACCACTCCACAAGAGACCTGCAACGTCGACGCATCTGTTAACGTCAACCATTGGCTCCCAGAATATCAAAAGAAACGATTGTTTGCCCTTATAAAAGAGTTTTCGGACTGCTTTTCAACGTCCTCTAAGGTGCGACGAACGGCTATTGCAAAACACAGGATTATAACAGAAGAAGCAACGAGACCGATTTACCAACACCCATATCGAGTATCGCAAAAGGAAAGAGACGTCATCAAGAAACAAGTGGAGGAGATGCTTTCAGATGACGTGATCCAGCCTTCCAGCAGTCCATGGGCGTCTCCCGTAGTGCTTGTTAAAAAGAAAGATAACAGCCTTCGATTCTGCGTCGACTATCGGAAATTGAACAGCGTAACGAAACGGGATGTATACCCTCTGCCGCGTATCGATGATACACTCGATCGACTACGGAGTGCGAAATACTTCTCCTCCCTTGATCTCAAGAGCGGATATTGGCAAATTGAGGTGGATGAGCGCCACCGTGAAAAGACGGCATTCATAACCCCAGACGGACTCTACGAATTTAAAGCGCTTCCATTCGGCCTGTGCACAGCGCCAGCTACGTTCAGAGAATGATGGACGCTGTCCTCGCGGGACTGAAATGGCAGTCCTGCTTGGTGTACTTGGATGACGTTGTCGTATTTTCCGCTACATTCGACCAACATCTAGAGCGACTCCGCACAGTATTAGAAGCCATTCGTTCAGCAGACTTGACCATCAAGCCAGAAAAATGCCACTTCGCTTTTGAAGAGCTTCGATTCCTCGGACACGTCGTCAGCTCCGACGGCGTTCGGCCAGATCCCGAAAAGACAGCTGCCATCGCGAAGTTCCCGACACCCAAAGACAAGAAGTCAGTACGTCGCTTCCTGGGTTTATGTGCGTACTATCGGCGATTTGTGGAAAATTTTTCGAACATTGCTGAACCACTTACTAATCTGACAAAAGACGAGGTGCCCTTTAGGTGGAAAAGTGAACAACAGGAAGCATTTGATGAGTTAAGAACACGCCTGCAAGCCTCTCCAATCCTCGCCCACTTCGATGATACTGCCGAAACTGAAGTTCACACTGATGCGAGTAACGTCGGCCGCGGAGCCATTCTAGTCCAGCGGCAAAACGGCCAAGAAAAAGTGCTAGCGTATGCCAGCCGCAAGCTTTCGAAAGCTGAGACAAATTACTCTGCAACCGAAAAAGAGTGTCTCGCGGTCATTTGGGCCATAAGTAAATTTCGGCCGTACCTCTACGGTAGACCATTCCGAGCAGTAAGGGACCACCATTGCCCGTGTTGGCTGGCGAATCTTAAGGATCCCTCTGGCCGACTAGCAAGATGGAGCCTTAGGCTGCAAGAGTACGATGTTACTGTGGTATACAAATCTGGGAAAAAGCACAGCGATGCCGACTGCCTGTCACGCGCACCAGTGGAGACGAGTGAGCCGGAGGAAGAAGACTTCCCGTTTCTAGGCGTCGTCGAGGCATCAGAAATTGCTGAACAACAACAAAATGACCCCGAGTTGCTGCCGCTTATACAGCGTCTCCAAGGACTCAACGTTAAAGTCCCGCA